GAGAGAGAGAGAGAGAGAGAGAGAGAGAGAGAGAGAGAGAGAGAGAGAGAGAGAGTTTGCGTGCAAGGGTGAGCTTTGAGATTTAGTAACCCAACCTTCACCCCCACCTCCACCATCACTCTCCACCCACCCCGCACATGACAGAAATGCACACGGTCACGGTGTAATGCGACAGCAGCACCATGCACCTCCTCAGCCCAGAACCGACCTGCGGTCAGTGATCAGAACCCGCCAGGGAGTTCCTCACCTCACCTCCGAGAGAGGAGGTGCAGGAGAGCAGGTTGTGTGAACACCAACCAAAGTGCATGGTTTGAAAAAGCGCGTGTGTGAAGGGGAGGGTTGTGGGGTCATCCTTAGGTTTCTCCGCTTGAATATGATTGCAGATCAGTGCACACACATGCCTTTAGATTGTGTCAGCTCCTGCTGCTGCAGAAGAAGGACTTTTTTTCAGCTAAACCTTTTATTTATTTATTTATTTATTTATTTATTTGTGTTGCTTTTGCCTGTTACTTTATGCATTTGATTGACTTTTGGAGCCAGTCCAATTCAAGATGGCCACCACAACTATTGATCTTATAAATCACACAAAACATTGCTATTAATTCAGTTTTATAGCTCTTGATAACATTTGGTGCAGTTAAGCTCATCCACAACACATGGTCCAAGTGCTATTCATTGTGCAAGATGGTGTGAAACTTGACCAATAACTTTTGGTGTCAACCCAATTCAAGAACACCACAACTGTTCACTATTAGCAAATACAGATAGAGTAGAATAAAAAAAGAAAAACATAGGACAAAATTGAAAATAGCATAGAAGAGAACAGTAATATTGGGAAATCAGCAGTAAATTTCCAATAGAAGCACACATGTTAAAAACATTGACAAAATTAATAAAAAAAGATAAAAACTATACAGAAGTAACAAAAATACAAGGTGAAAAACATACAGTTATGAACAAATAATAAAGTTGTAACTTAGTCAATTTTAGATACTGAGGTATAATTTGATGAAAGTCATCCATGACACCTGCTTTGAACGTGACACCTCACAATGTTGCATGATATTATTTTTAATGTTTGACCAAAATTGATCTGTTGTTTTTCATGGTCTAAGTTGTTTTTATCAACAATACTGGCTGCAATGATTTACAGATATTCAAATATACAAAATAAACATTTGGATGCTGAATTTCTACAAGTCAAGACAAACTATGGTTCAAAACAAAACTTGGACAAAAGTGCATTATCAGAAAACCTAAGACAGGTTTATTCAATTTTTTTCAACTTTTGGAACTTAGTGTCCTCTCCTCTATACAATAAGGCTTCTTTTATGATAGATTTGTAAATGCTTTTGGTATAAGGCTATGAAACACTTTATAAATTAATGTAAAAAATGGGTATGACACTTCAAAAATTGAAGCAGCATCTACATTTGTCAAGATAAACTGTACTAACAATGTGTTTTGCTCATCTGACTTACTTTTCCTTGTTTTTATGCTTATTTATTTAGATGTTTCTGATAAATGTTTAATGTTAGAAATACACGAAAGAAAAACCAAATGTACCCTCAGTTTTGTCAAGAAACAGGTTTAACTTATTATTCATAGAGAAGGTTCTAATTCTTTAGTGACCGAATCATTTACCATTTGTAAATCCTTTATAAAGACAGTCTTAATGGGAAGTTGAGCCAGTTGTTCTACTTTTAGATCCATGAAAAAATGAACAATTGGTTCATTTTCTGACTTGAACCCTAATTTATTTACTTTATTTCTTGTAATGTGGGTCTCTGCTGATGTGGTTCATAACTGAGCTACTCAATAACTGCCTGTGCTTTCTGATTTTTTTTAAACAAATCCTCTATAAATTAGAGGTTAGCTTTAGCTGCTCATGCCAAAGTTAGATAACATGTTACACATCGCTATGTGCTCATCAGACATGAATAATCACCAGTTTATCATGCTGTCACACTGATTTAATATAGTTACTTTATATTAGAAGTGCAGTGTGTCAAACATCAGGACTGATTTGAAGTAAGGATTTCAGTTAGATTTTTTTCTGGATGAGCTCTGGTGAAACTGCTGCAGAGCTGAGCAGATTCGAGGCAGGTGGATGTCTCTCCAAGGCCACATTAGATGCAGCCCTCTGCTCCTGCGTTCACCTCAAATATAGACGACCTAGTTTTTTGATCTTCACAAATGTCCCTGACACACCTGAACAACATGTATCTGAAAGAGTAAGAAGGTGGGCTGACACTTTTTTTCAGTGGTCCCGTGTGGAGGTTTGGACAAAGTGTCCTGTAAATGTGTTGAGGGGGAACCTTGTGAAAATGACTGTGTGGCTGCTGCAACAATAGTTTAGTTCAACTTCAAATTATTATGGTAAATACTGTTTTTATGTTTACTGCTTTATTTTACTTTCTGATTATCATTATTTTTTGTTTTACATTTTACACATTGACCCAACTTTCTCAGAACTGGGTTGTTAAAGCTCAAACATTTTTCTGACTGAAGCACCTGGTTGGCCATCAGGCTTTTCACACTAAGCCTAGATTTTTTAGTTCTATTTTGAAACCCTCTCAATTGACCTTTATTTTACAAAATGACTTCACTAAAGGTTTTATGTGTTTGTTTTCAATTTAAGGGGGGCATTCTCTGTGGTCAGGAGGTGCGTGAAGATCTCCTCTGGACAGGAGTATGCTGCCAAAATCATCAACACCAAGAAGCTTTCTGCAAGAGGTTGGAAACACACACATGCAAACACACACCATGCATCAGCTCAAAGAAAAAGAAATCCCTGGTTGTCGTCGAGTTACATGCTGATGAGCTCTGAAATAGGCTTCAGGCTCTGAGAGGGAACGTGTGTGTTTTGTGTGTGTGGGCACGTGTGGGAAGCTTTTAATGTCAGTAAGTGACAGACAGACTCCTATGCACTTGTGGATTGTTGTTTACCTTCCTTTTTGGTGTTGTTCATATTCATCCTTTCAGTTTCTATGCAAATATTTGTCACACACAACCTTGTTTGTTAGTGTGTGTGTGTTTGTGTGTATGTGTGTGTGTGTGTGTGTGTGTGTGTGTGTGTGTGTGTGTGTGTGTG